CTAACAAGAACTCGCAAGGCGACCAACCCGGCCAAAGCAACAAACACAGCCAAGGTGACTTTCAAGCTTGTCTCCTACAGGTCGGGCGCTATTCGCGCCTTTCCCCTAGACGAATGCAAGACTGGGAGAGATCTCTTCGACAAGGCACGGACATTTTTCCGACTATTCGACAGAAACGTCGACGTCAAGATCCTTTCGTGCCAGATATCGTCTGAGCGTGCGCAACATTTTCTTTTCGGCAGCGAGGGTGAATTTGAGCTTCTCATCCAACACGCCAAGGACCGCAAGAGTACAGAAGATGGAACAGTTACCATTGAAGTGAATCATGTTTTGGAGCCTTGAGGAGGCTACCTTAGAAATCATTTGTTTCTATCACATCAAGTCATCGGTTATCCCAGTTTCTCGCCGGTCAAGGAATGGGCGCATCGAGATTATCTCGCATATCAACCAACTTTTCTTCAAGGATCTTCTAGCCAGTTGCTTCGAAGTACATAATAATATTCCAGAGATTCATCACAGCCGAATATACATCAGGCTGAAATCATTGGATGAATCATATCAATCGTTCTAGTGGGATAATTTGAACATTTGCACTTGTGGAAAAGTATTCGTCTTCCTAGGCTCGGCGTAAGGTCGCAGTTGATGGCAGAATGACTAATGAACCACGTGGGCTTGCGCGTCTCCGGTCAGTTCGGCCTCGTTTCCATCCCCTAAGGACCAAGCGAGCTTTCCTTCAAAGAAACTGCTACTAATTAAGCTCCAAGCATGAATTCAGCGTCTGTTCGATGCCTCCTCCACCCGGCTCACCTCCCCCTATCCCTCCGCCCGTCCCCGTTGAGACTCACCCCAACCGGACAAGCAGCTTGAAGCCTCCTCCGGAGCATCGCTCGCTCCCAGATCCCACACGGCTCGCTCCAGAAGACGCATATTTCTCCTCTGCTTATTTAAGAGGTCGGACGGCGAATGCAAACTACGATGACCCACTCCGAGCGCTGAATGGCAACGCTGCTGCTTTGCGCGCGCAGCCCGCGTATCCGGGCGCGGACAGTCGAAAAGAGCGCAAAGTGAGGGGGCCGAGCAGACGGAGGAGACGAAAAGGGGCATGGAAGAAGTTACTGTGGGTGAAGCAGTCATGTAAGTTTAACCAGAGATTTTATGGGTGTAAAATCCACTTGGGAGAAGGCTGAAGGAGCTGACGGGCATGGCCACAGACCCGGACAACTACACCGACACCGAAACCTTTCTCGACCATCTCCAGCGCAACCCGCGCGTGCGGCCCTACGACTTCTGGCCTCTAGTGGCTGACTCAACAGTGATTGTTCAGCATGTTTGCTCTGTGGCGATTTTCGTGTGCTGTTTTGTTGGCATTGTCCAGGAGAGAGTGAGCCCTGTTTCGGTCGTCTGCTGGGGCAGTGTTGGAACGGCCATGGGGTGGATTCTGTGGGACTCTTGGGTTTGGAGAGAGCATCATGCTGAACAGGCTCAGAATGCGGAGCGCATCGCGGACGGGGACGATGGTTCTAGTTCGAGCTCTGCAGCGAGCTCGGTCAATCCGTCGTCGGGGGCTGCGTCGCGGCCAGTTGGTCCGAAGGACGGTCAGAACGAGGTCCACGGGCTGGGACTTACCATATCGAGCGGTGAGCCTGGTGAATTACTGCGGCGGCGTAGTACAGGGTTCAGTGTTGAGGCTTATGGCCCGTCTGATCCTGGCTCGCCTAGTCACCAGGCCAATGGTGGCCTCAGCAATACGCATCTATACCATGGCACGCAGGAGACCGACGAGACTTTGTTACTCTCGTCAAGGAACCGCCAACGGCTTTCGACTGTCAAGTCGGCGTTCCTGATTTACTTTTCGCTGCTGGGGCTCAGCCCTATCCTGAAATCGCTTACCAAGTCTACCGCCAGTGACTCCATTTGGGCGATGAGCTGCTGGCTGTTGATCATGAACATATTCTCCTTTGATTACGGAAGCGGGGAAGGCGCGGGCGCCACCAAATTCCCGGCTTCGCTGTCCACTAATGCGGCCGTGATGGCATCGACTGTCCTGGCGTCTCGTCTGCCGTCTACAACCCATGTCTTCAGTCTGATGTTGTTCTCGATTGAAGTCTTTGGACTGTTTCCCATCTTCCGCCGGCAACTACGACACACTTCCTGGACGGGACATGTGCTTCTGACGCTGGCGCTGGTCATTGTGGCCGGAGGTGCGGTCGGAATGACCCTGCGCGGAGGATGGACCGCCGCGGTTGTCGGGTCGTTTTTAGGAAGTATCATGACTGCTTTTGCAATGGGGGGATGTAGCTGGTGGCTCATCAGTCTTCAAAAGTACAAGAACGTGGTGACAGGGCCATGGGACCCAGCGCGGCCGATTATCCGGCGGCAGTGGGATTAGTTCAATGCCAGCCTGCGCGATTTTGTGAACTGGCCTTGAGCCCGTGTCTATGATGCAATTTATCTTGTGATATTCTCATTTGAGCATGTCGTGGTGTTCTGACCCCGGATACGATACCCTTGCGTGTTCTACTTGATGTTTATTATTAGTACCTAATATTCCGTAAGGACCATAATCTCGTGGCAGGCTCACAAGCCAGTTCTGCAGAAGTACAGCAACTCGATAATAATTCGTAATGTCTCATGGTTTCATGCTCGGCGCACTGTTCTCGCGCCTTGCGCGTCGAATACCGCAACCCCAGGAATGTTCGGCTGTCAAGCATGCCAGAGGCGGAGGCTACTGTTTTGAGAAGAAATCCATCTGGATAGCAGTGGAAGCAACAAAATCCGGATTCGATCTCAGCAGCATTCTTGCTTCAAAGGGTCTGGAAGATGATTGCTGTCATTGCTTTGGGGCTGGATTGTCTCATCATCATGTGCGGTTTCATTGTGCTTCACCTTTGTGCATCTGACATCAGGTATTTCTAATGGGAAAGCATATTTGAATAACTTGCCTTGGGGCCGGATGCCTAGGAGACATTTCTGGCTTCTCCACTGTATCATGCTGGGGCTGGGAATGTTTATTGTGTTGTTGCTCTGTGTGGTTGCTGATGGGGCGAAGCCAGCAAAGCCACCGTGAAGGGGCCGCTTGTCTGTTAGCTTCAGGATATATCTAGCTCTCACAACTTGTGCATCTCTTTCTTTTCTTTGATATTTCACTCTGAGGGATTTTGCCAAGGTTGGGCACTCACAGCCGTCGGTCTTGTCTGGTTTGTTTCAGGCTGATTGTCCATCCTTCAGTCTATTCGGTGGGCTTCTTCTTGTTTTTCTTTCTTCCATTTCGACGCTCTTTTCATCAAGCACTTCCCATCTCAATTCGATCAACACAAGATGCTCAAATCCCTTGTGTTCGGCCTGATGGCTGTCCAGGCCGCGAGGGGCCTGAGATTTGCCATGTACATCGATCAGTAAGAGGCCTACTTGGATTTCCTGCACTCAATGCAGGAACAGATTGGCTTGATGAGCTAACAATTCAGGTACCACACTGTTGATCTCCCAGGCAGCGACCAGACCCAGGGCATCACACACGCCATTATGGCTTTCGCTCCATCTAAGCAGTTCAACACCGACTCTTCGTACACTCCCTTTGACACTGTCGAGAATATGCGCAAGCGCTTCGCCCCCGACACCAAGGTCATGATTGCCATTGGTGGATGGGGCGACACCGCTGGCTTCTCCGAGGGGGCCAAAGATGAAGCCTCTCGAACCAAGTATGCGAAGAACGTTGCAACGATGATTAACAATCTGGGCTTCGACGGTGTTGGTAAGTTCAAAATTGCGGGATGAAACACTCACGTAAACATGCAATGCTCACACTAGCTGATGGTAGATATCGACTGGGAATACCCTGGCGGCAACGGCGACGACTACAAGAAGGTCCCCAACTCCCAGAAAACCGGCGAGATTGAGACCTACCCGCTCTTCCTGGAGGCTATCCGCGAAGCCATTGGCAAGGACAAGCTCCTGTCTGTTGCAGTCCCAGGTAAACGCGGCGACATGATTGCTTTCACCAAGGAGCAAGGACCCAAGATCTGGTCGGCTGTCGACATGGTCAACGTCATGTCGTATGATTTGATGAACCGCCGCGACAACGTGACAAACCACCACACCGGCGTGGCCGGCTCCCTGGATGCCATCAAGGCGTACGAGGAGATCGGCCTCGACACGGCCAAGATAAACCTGGGATTCGCGTACTATGCCAAGTGGTTCACGACTGATCCGAACAGCGACTGCGCCGAGCAGCCGATCGGATGTGCCGTCGTTCCGCTGGAGAACCCTGACGGCTCGGACCCGGGCAAATCTGGCGCCCTGACCTTCGAGAAGAGCAGCATGGCTGCTCCTCCGGACAACCTGAGGACTAGCACGGATGGAACCTGCGGCTATGCCAAGGGGACCAAGTGCCCGTCTGGATCGTGTTGCAGTCAGTATGGAAACTGGTATGTTTTTTTTTTTTGTCTCTCGTCTCTACTAAGACACTTCAGGGCTTGGCTAATTCGAACAGCGGCACCGGCGATGACTTCTGCCAGGCAGGCTGTCTCTCCGACTATGGCGAGTGCAAGGGCATTTCCGTTACTGACTCCTGGCGCCGCGCGCTCAAGGACGGCAAGACGGATGAGCAAGGAGGCGGACAGTACTACTGGGACAGCACGGTCAATCTCTTCTGGACCTGGGATACCCCTGCGATGATTGATCGCAAGTTCACGGAAATTGTGGCAGCGGAGAAGCTGGGCGGTGTCATGGCTTGGAGTCTGGGTGAGGATACCCTGAACTGGGAGCATCTGAAGGCGATGCAGAAGGGCCTTGGGCAGTAGTCGGTACTCGGCACTTCATACTTTGTGGCACGGTATAGCCATGTTTCAGAGTCAATACCGTTACAATTTAATTGCTCTTTAAATCGTCGACCTCTGTCCATAGTGTGAAGACAGTCCGTAGAAGTAGAGAGCTAGCCGTCGTCGTCGTCGTATGTCAGAAGAATTGACCAATCCGGAGGCGGGATGCGGCACGGGGTCGTGATGGTGGCCGCCATTCCATCCGCAAACATCAATGATGCAGAGACCAGCAGCACGCCTCATATCGCTTTAAGCAGTTTAAGAGGACCTGGTCCTCAAGGCAAGCAGGATGGCATATCCATCTCTCTCTCCAGCAATCACGCTGCCACGATGAGACTCGTCTACCTCTTCCTCCCCCTGAGCCTGGGGCTACCAATCACCATTCCCGTCGAAGGCACGGAAGTATACCAACTCCAACACCAAGAATATCACCAACTGCAACAGCAACGGACAATCCTCCCACAAAACCATTCAGAGCAAGACCGCCCCCAAATCCAACCCAGCTCCAGCCCCCACGGCTCATTCATCAACCTCAACCTCCGCAAGCTCAAGCCAAACAACAACACCAATACCACCCAACCAACCGACAAAATCCTCCAAGCATACCTTCACACCCTGCCCACCTCACACCTCTGCGCGCACACCCTCTCGCAATATGCCCCCGAGCTCCTCGCCCTCGCGCTCTTCTCCCTCCTCCCCATTACCCTCTGCATCCTCACCTTTGCAGAGCGCATCGCCCGCTCCTGGACCGTCGAGGCGTATCCCGAGCGAGGGCGCGACAGGCGAAGGTTTCTGGACCGGGAGCGGCGGTGCTTGATGCAGGCGAGAAGGGAGAGGGAGAAGAGGGCTGTGCTGGAGAGGGGGTGGTGGATTGCGGAACGGAAGCGTTGATTCTGTTCAGTTCCATTCAATTCAATTCAATCATCATGAGGTTTGGATCTGGTCTGATGACGGTACCAGATGAGGAAGATGAAGAAGCTTGCAGATGCGACTCGGCTCTTCTGGCTATCTCTACGAGGGAGACTTGCGCGTGGTGACCATGAGGGCTGCGCTGCGAGAATGAGGGCAGATTAACCGGATTCGATGGTTTGGTGATGGTGATCGGTGGTTCGTGGGTCGAACCGAACGAGGATCAGGATGGCTGGTCCATCTTGATTATCCTGCGCAGAGCTGCGTGGGATCTGATATAAAGACGATATCAGACGAAGAACAATGTACAGTCAATATGTATAATACAGTTTACATAATATACCCATACAGTTAAACCCGGCATAACCGGCCGTTCTGATCTGGCAGCCCATCCTCACTCTCCACAGTCCAGTCCTCGCTACCTACAGCTGTAGGGGCGTAGAGCAATCCAAACGGATCATACCGCTGCTTCAGCGTATACAGCTGCGCATAGTTCTCGCCATAGAACGCCTGCTGGAAGTTCGGCTCGAGGATATCCGCCTCCGACATGTAAGCACCTGCATCAGGGCAGGTGGCTCGCCATTGTCCCAGCACATTGTTGCTGAAGTACTTCATGGTATCCAGGATCTCAGCCTTGGTGGCATTGCTGGCCCAGCTGGTTGAGGTGATGGCGTGCATGAGGGTGTTGCGGAAGGCCGGGTTCGCAGAGCTGGCCGGGTAGCCGTCGGGCAGCTCGGCCTTGAGGTTGTATGCGAGCATGGGGTATCCGGCCTCGATGGTGGACTTGATGGCTTCGAAGGTGGTGCTGAGGAGAGTGGCGTTCTCCCAGTTCGCACGGGGGAAGAGCCACGAGCCGGTCATCATCGTCGACGAGGCGACTGTCTCCAGAGGGAAGCCAGCCTGCCAGGCGTCGTAGAAGTTGTCGTAGTAGGTCGAATTGGGGGTATAGGTGATACCGAGCTCCTCGAGCTGGTCGTACCAGGGCTTCATAAGAGCGTCGAACTCCGCGACAGTGTGGTTCACAGCAAAGTAGGGACTCATCAGGAAGGTGAAGGAGTCGGTACCTGTGGGCATAACCCAGAAATAGGCGTAGGTGCCTGCGTCGGCGTTGACGGCGAACCGGTCAATGTAGGCGCCCACACCAGCCCAGAAGGCGTCGACGGAGACGTTGGTGCCAGTCGAGAAGGAACCGGTTGACACGGTGGCGCCGACCTTGGGGTGGACGCGCGAAATGATCGAGGTGACCACACCGTAGGTGCCTACCAGGTTAGTATGGGAACCCTTCCCAGAGACAGAACAGGACGTACCTCCACCACCTCCACGCAAAGCCCAGAACAGGTCGGGATCAGTTTCCTCGGTCACGGTGACGAAGCGACCACTGGCAAGAACCACCTCGAGGGCCAGAACTTGGTCCGCAGCCAGGCCGTAGATACTGGACATGGGGGAGTGACCACCACCGAGGACGTACCCACCGGCCACGCCAACAGTCTATCCTTCTGTCAACGACGAGTCACATGGTGCCACGGACGAGCTTACCTTGCACTCGCCACCAACGGGAGTGAACCCGAATTCCTTAGCCTTGCTGTAGATCTCAAACGCTTGAACACCGGCCCCCATCTTGACAGCGGGGCCGCTGTAGCGAGAGCTTTTGTAATTCTGAATGTACTCAATATCCTTGAGGTTGTGGGTCCAGATGCCCAGGGCACCGGCACCGGTGGACTTGCCGTTGAAGTCGTGGCCGGTGTTCTTGACGACCAGACGGATGCCGGTGTTGCGCGCAAAGTTGACAGCCAGCTGGATCTGAGCCACGTTGCTCACATTGACCGCATAGCTGCTGTAACCACCTACGGTGCAGTTGCCAGAGGGGTCATCAGTAGGCAGACAGGTTCTGCCCTCGTACAGTGGCCACATAATTGATGCAGGATCGGCAGCACTGTCCAATCAGCCAGGGATTTTTGTTGATGGAACGACATAACTTACTGCATGTACGAGTTGGTCCAGTTGGAAGTGACGGCTTCGCATTCCGCCGCATCGTACTCGGGCCACGCGGAATAACAAGAAGCTGCCAGAGGAACAGTCTTGACAAGTGCACCGCCCAGAAGCATGTCAAGCAGCTCCCAGGTCCGTTTGGACGGCCATAGAATATCGTCTGGGAAGACCTTGCAGAATTTGGCACCGCGAGCGGTCAGCTTAGCCGAGCCAGAAGCATTGTTACCAAACGCAAAGAGCTGGGTCTGGGTTTGAATGGTGAAGCTGATGTTGGCCAGCACCGCGTCTGTCAGCTGCAGAGTCTCTGCGGGGAAGAGAGGCGCCCCCGCAGAGGTCGAGTTGGACGACACGGACTGAGCAGCGACAAGTGTGGCATCCGACTCGGCCGTACAGAAGTTGCAGAGAGCAAGACCCACAATGAGGATGGCCCTGAGGGAGAACGGCTGACGGGGAGCCATCTTTTGGAGTGGGTGAATGGACGGTCAGCAACAGTTGACCAAGTCAGGGATGAAAGACTGGTATTTGAAGACGGTGATGATGCTCAATCATCCAACAAAGAGTGTTTAGGCACATTGGATAAACTCTGGATGGAGTATCTATGCCGTGTCAGCCATCACTGTGAGGTGGAGGAAGCCGGTCAGCAGTAGTATGCAGCATGGCTGGACTAATTCAGAAATTGACCAGTAAGATCAACGCTCGAGTCAGATAATTGTTTCTGACAGCCACTAGGGATCTAGATTCGTCAGTAGGTAGATAGATAGATTGATACTAAAGAGGCGAGTAGAAGATGAGTAGAAGTCGAGAAGAGATGAAATGTCCCAACCCTCTTGGTTGATGGTGATGCGCCTCGGGCCACAGGGCAAAGCTCGGATCTCCACTTGTAGCATTTCAGTAAACTCCGCAGTAATTGAGATAAATATCACAGTCTGCTCCTCGCTGTCCTCTTCGTCGAAATCTTCCAGTGCAGTTTAATCGTACATGTGTATGACACCTCCATCGAGGCAGGAGAGAGCCTTCATGTCACCACCGCAGCGCTCAACCTCTTCACCGACTTTCTCGTCCTCTCCGTCCCCATCTTAATTGCCGTCTGCATCATTCCCTGCTTTGATGAGGTGGATGGGCTCTGGCACCGTCTACGCAGCTGAAATGACTCTATCCAACTGCAGCGATTCAACCTAAAATGTCGGCTTCCGTATCGCCGCGATGGGAGTTTCAAGTCGCCAATTGCTGCATTCGCCCACTCCACCAAAGTCATTCTCGACAAGACCTCGTCGCCTGGGCACCTCCAAAGCGGCTCGTCTAAGTATGAGCCATAAGCAGCTGGAGCTGCCAGTTCCAGTCAGGTTTAATCTTCTCTCGAACCAAGTCCGCCCGCGACTCGGACGACGGGTTCGACCTGGCGGATCCGTACCAGTCAAGACGGACGGCATCTCGGCCGCGAGCTGCACAATTACATTTACACCAGACACCAGACACAGCGATAATAACAGCCTTAACAGCGATGATGGAGTGTTGGAGATGATGCAGATGCTTGACGTGTTGGTGCGTATAACACACGGGAAGAAGAGAACCTGGTATAGCACTCGTGCAAGAGGAAAACTGGACGGATCGACATCTTGTCTGAACTCATTTCGCCTTTGTCGATGCATATATAAAAAAAAAAAAAAGCCATACTACAATGCCTGCATGATAAAATGGCTACACAGGATCACAGCCGAGTTACTGCCGATAAGTGCGGGGTCAACGGGGTCAATAGGTGCTGCTGGTGATAAAGTCGCACAGAGCCCCTCATCGCTGATCCTTTTCAACTTACCTCCTTCTGCCATCAAATAGGTAACATATCGAAAATGGCCAAGACGTATCAGTTGCCATTCAAGGTATGCGGCAGTAGCAAATGAGCAGCTTGCAATGGCTAACTTTCTTCAGCTTGAAGATCCCACTCTTCTCCATTTCGACTCCTTTGTCGGGGACAAATGGGTTCAGGCCAAAAGTGGAAAACGATTCGAAGTCGTGGGTAGGAACTGACTATTCTCCTCTTATTGAGCCTACGGTAACATCAGAATAGACCCCGGCACCGACACACCCTGGGCCAGTTGTCCTGCCAATGGCGTGGAAGACGTGAATCCCGCCGTCCAGGCCGCCCACGAAGCGTTCGAAACCTACAAGAAGACCAACCCCCGGCAGCGCGCCCAATGGCTCATGAAATGGGACGCTCTCATACGGGAGGCGCGGTCCGACCTCGCCCAGATTCTCACCCACGAGACGGGGAAACCCCTCGCCGAATCGTACGGGGAGATCGACTACGCCACGGGCTTCACCTGGTGGTTTGCTGGTGAGGCGGAGCGCATCCAGGGCACGATCAGCGTGCCCTCGGCGCCCAACCGTCGCGTCTTCACGGTCAAGCAGCCCATCGGTGTGGCCGCCGCTCTGGTCCCCTGGAATTTCCCCATCGCTATGGTCCTGCGTAAAGCAGGCGCCGCCTTCGCCGCCGGCTGCACGATGATCGTCAAGCCTAGCCCGGAGACTCCCATCACGACGCTCGTGCTGGCGCACCTAGCGCAACGCGCGGGTTTCCCAGCAGGCGTGTTCAATGTGCTGACCACCGACCTGGAAAACACGCCGTCGCTCAGCGAGACGCTTTGCAAGCATCCGCTCGTCAAAAAGGTGACATTTACGGGATCCACGCGCGTCGGCAAGCTGATCGCTGCGCACTGCGCCGAGGGGCTGAAGAAGGTGACCCTCGAGCTCGGCGGGAACTGCCCCTTCATCGTGTTCGACGATGCGAACCTGGACCAGGCACTGGACCAGCTGATGGCGCTGAAATGGCGGCATGCAGGCCAGGCGTGCATCACTGCCAACCGTGTGTACGTGCAGGCAGGGATCTACGATAAATTCGCACATATGCTCAAGGAACGCACGGAGAAGTTGGTCGTCGGCCACGGCGCACAGGAGGGCACTACCATGGGCCCCGTCACGACACCGCGGGGCCTGGA